CCCGAGATCTGTGATCCCTTTTATTAATACAGAGCCAACAAATTGCCGATCTTAGGCTTAACTAGTTATGCAACTGCTTTCATGTTCTTTTGATATTCCATAACATTTACCTCTGCTGCCATTCATCCCTTTGAAAACTTGGGAAGTCATTGTTCCCCATGGCTTCCCACCCATTCTAAACTCATTTCCTCCTCCCATGCTCTCCTGGGAGATCACGGTTAGATCTCTAGCCTCGTGTCATCATTTGTCAGGTCAACACAGGCCAGAGTGGGAAGGACACCGAGACCACAGGGTAAGTGAGAGCAAACCTGGACCATCCTCTAGGTCTCCTGACTGCCCATCTACCTCACTTCTCATCACTCCACATGTCTACACCCCTGTCAAGGGAAAGGTTACACCACCACCACCACCACCACCACCACCACCACCACCACCACCTCCACCACCACCCCGCCCAGGCAGCATGGAATCTCCTTCCAGGACTCTTTCCACAGAGAACATAATAGCTACCATCTATTTCCACTCTGTGCATGCACTGTGCTTCTGCATTGAGTCTCCCTCCTCAGGGAGGTGTGATCACTGTCCCCAACTTACAGGGAAGGAAATGAGCTCAGAGACTGAAGGGATTTTCTCAAAGCTGCACAGCTAGTGTGCGACTGAGCTGAGATTAAAACCAGTACTTAAAAACAAAACAAAACAAACAAACAAAAAAACAGAACTTATTGGCTATTTCTGATCTCTGCCTTTCAACCCAGTCCTATTAATAAGACCCTCAGGGAGTCTACTTAAAATCCCTTAACCTGGAGATCATATCCTCTCCCACACGATGGGAGAGCCTTTGGCTAATGCCGCACTGTCCAGAACATGGACAGGGTCCTGCTCTCCCCTGCCGGCACTTTGGCCCTACGATAGGGGTGTCGAACTCAATCAGAGAAGGGGCCAAAATCTAAAATCCAGCCTAAATCGTGGGCCGAATGGTTTACTGAACAGTCATAAACTGTCATTGTGATGGAAACGCAGCGGAGTGCAGTGATGACAGCGCGGTGCGGGCCACATTGCAAGGCCTGGCGGGACGGATTTGGCCCGCGGGCCTTGTGTTTGACACATTTGCCCTACGATGTGCAAACATCCTGGGGTCCTCACCCCTTATTGGCTTCCACTCTTGAAGGCCTCAGCAAGAGCTGGTCTCCTCGAGATGTTGGGGTCAGAGCAAGGCCCCTGAAAACATGGTGGGGGTTGCGGAGGTCATCTTGTTGGGAGAGCTTGATGTGGCAGCGTGAATATTGATGAAGCTGTAATTGGCTCCCTCTTCCAGAGCCAAGGCTTCTGCAGGCCTAAGCGCTGGGGCTAATTGTTGCAGGCAATTAATAACTTGGATTGTGTTCACTCTGGCGCAGGCTGCCTGCTTCCTTGGAGGAGGCAAGCGAGGCTGAGAAAGGAGTGCAAGGCCGGCTGTTTGCAGGATTCTGGAGGAGGTGGGGGTGAAGGGCTGCCATCTGCTCAGCCTCCCCCACCCTAGCCTGGCCCTGTCACCTCTCCCGACCCCCATCTCCTCTCCTGAATTGTTGCCCCCCCCTTCCCATCGTCTTCCCACTTAAACTCATGGCCTCATGAACAGAGCACCAGGGGCTGGGAAGAGGAGAGATGGTGACTTGGGAAAAGCTCGGGATTGAAACCCGGGAGGCCTGGGACCAACTCAAGCTCTTTCCCTAACTTGCTGCACGACCTTCAGCTGGAAACACATTCGCCAGGCACTTGGGCGCGTTTTCTGAGCTCTTTTGCATCTATTATATCCCATGAAGTGCAATCAACCCTGAAAGTCACGGAAACAAGGACCAGTCATTCTATCAGAATCTCTCTAACTCGGTAGCTATAACTACATCACTATACATATGCGACTAATTATCACCTATAAATCTGTGCTCCGCCTCAGCTGAAGAGATCCTCGCAGGCGTATCATAAGCAGAGGTCATGGGAGTCCCATTTTGTAGTTGAGGAACCTGAGCCTTAGAGAAATGAAACGACTCACCCAGGATCATGCCGTCAGTAAAAGACACAGAGAAAACCCAAACCCAGTTTTGTGAATCTGAAGCTCTTTCCAGCACACCTCAGTCCACTGGCCTCCACTCGCTGGCCATGAGCTCCACGCCGGGGTGTGGCCAGTTGAAGGAGGGTTACTTATTGTGGTTACTCTATTGCCTGGTGCTGGGACAATGAGAAACGGTCTTAGTCTACGGTGTTTTAAAAGATAAACACCCAACCTTCCCCATATACTCTTCCCCTCAGCTATTCAACCATCTGGTGGGAGGACTTGATTCATGTATAGTCTCCGTCATCAGGGCTGGGGCTAAGAAGTGAGAGGTGCGATGGTCACCACTAGGTCATCTCTTACTCAGCAGGTAAGAAGAAGAAATGAAGGAGGGGGAGTAGCAGGAAGAAAAGGAGGAGGAAGAGGAGGGGGAAGAACTACCGGAGTATTTATTTAGAGCTTGGTTTATGCCATGCCCTGTGCTAACGGCTATTTTTGCACTGAGTTTATCTCATGTAATACAGTACATCTTTGTAACCACTGCTCTGAGGCAGGTGCTTTCCCAACCCCCATTTTAGAGAGGAGATGACGGGCTCAGCGAGGTGCAGGGACTTTTCCAAGGTTTACACGGCTGGTAAGGGATGGAGCCAATGTATGGCTTCGCTGGGGGTGCTGGAACCCGTGCTGAGCTCAGAGGCGCCACTTCAAACACAGAGAAGAAACGGGAATAGAAATAAAGGAATGGGAGCTCAGGACAAAGCCGCCCTTTGTGGCTCAACCCCCTTACCAAAGGAGGCTTTTCCATTAGTGGTGAAGACAGAGTCGAGGGGAAGCCGCCGATGGGCGCCAAGAGGCATGTAAATCAGACCCGGGAAGAGCTCTCACCAGACAGCTCTGGAGTGGGGGAGACAGAATCGGATACTCTGCAGCCTTCCCATTGGACCGGTCATTTGGCCACTGGAGCCATCTCTAATTAACATCTGGGGTAAGGAGGCCACAGGGGTGCCCTCCGGTTGGACAGGGACCTCTGAGCCCGCCTCCCCAGGCCTCGGTGAACAGACGTCCTGCAGGCAGAGTTGGAGCAGAGGGAAGGGAGTTGGACGACGAGGCCCCAGGAGGAGGATTCTCATGACTTTCCCTGCCCGCGCCAGCTCCCGCATTCGCTGCCACCACCACCGGCTCCACTTTATGGCAGGCATATTTCAAAGGCCCGGTTCCATTTGCATTTTTAAAACCTCGCTGATGGCCTGGGAAAATTGTATTTTTCCAGTGTTCCTAGGTACCACACTCCTCCCCTCCTCTCCCATCCCACTGGGCTTCCGCCTCTACACCCTCCCTTCCCAGAAGGCCCCCAGTCAAGGGCAGAGCAAGTCCAGCCCCCATCCGGGATCATCGGGAGGTCCTGGGGGGGCGGGTCAGAGAGGACTCCGGATGGGTGTAGGTGGCCACAGCTGTGGCCAGCTGGGCAACATGAAGCTGGGACCCCAGCCCACTAACTATAGTTCACAGAGGAGTGAGGGCGGAGTCCACCTTGGAGGGCGGAGGATGTCGGGGAACCATGGGGCACATCGCTGGCACTCCCTGAGGGTTTGTCGGGGGAGAGGGTTTGCCAGTGCAGGAGCGTTGGGGAACTTTGAGGAGGCTCCGGGCAGCAGCCTTACACCAGCTGAAAAGAGTAAGCCCTGCATGCAGCAAACAAAAAGCTTTGCTCTCAGCGGGGCTCAGGAACACACTCTGTCTCCCCGTTGCTCCCTGAAAAGCCAGTCTTTTCCTGTTCTTCCTCCCACCCTCTCCCCAGGCTGCACGCTCCCGGCCTCCCCTCTGAGATGTGCCAGGAGAGGCTGGGAGTTGGCTGGTGGTGGTGGGTCTGTCCTTTGTCCTCAAGTGCCAGCTTTGGCCTCTGATGTCGAGGCAGCGACACATACACTCTCCACCGCTTGGGTGAGGTCTCCGGTCTCTGGCCGATCCCACAGCTCAGGGCAGCACCCTTCACGCCTGGAGCTCCTCCCAGCACTGTTTGCCAGGCCACCTGGAGCTTCTGAAGTGCCCTAACAGACCTGGCAGCTGGCCATGGCTCCCCCTGGTGACCCTGAGCACACAGGGAGTGAGGGCTGGGGCAGGGACACTGCCTCAGGCCATTTGCTTCTGCACGGATGTGTCCACTAGTCTTCCCTGTTCCTCCCTCAGCACACACACAGTGGATGTAGGACAAGCTCCCGGCTCACCCCTCACCCAACAGTGGCAATGGCCTCCCTTCTTTCTGGCTTCCCTGGGTCCTGCAGCTGGGGACTGGCAGCTGGTCCTCTTCAGGGGCATCCCTGTTGGATCTCCCTGGGTGAGACAAATGCCAATGCCCTCTGACCACGGATGGAGAGAAATGGGCCAGGCACTGGCCACCGCTCCCCGGCTTCTCCTCTTGTGGTCCTCAGGCCAGGGGTATCAGGCCAGAGGTGTGCTAGAGCCGGAGGGATACTGGGTGCCAGGAGCTGGCATGACTCTGGGCTCTGGTGCCAGAGAGGTGAATGGAGAAGGAGGGAGGAAGGACGGTGCCAGGAGCCTGGGCTTGGCATCTCCCTCTGGGGAGACCCAGGGATGCCCTCGAATGTCAAGGAGGCTGGTCACCTGCCAAGGCTGGGTGGCCTGGGAGAGGAACCTAAGAAACTCCTGGGGAAGAGAAGGAGGCCCCTGCCGAGCCATTTACAGGAGCGAGAACTGACCCCCAGGGGTCGCTGCGCCGCTCGCAGCCCCAGCCGCTGGCGGTGGGAGCCGGCTTGTACCACCGCGCGGCTCCCGCGGGGGGGGGCGGCGGCCACCGTGACGCCGGGCGGAGGGCTCGGGAGACAGCAGCGCGCGGGGGAGCCAGGGCCTCTCCCGCCACTAACTGCAAAGCCCGGCGGTTCCGAGGCCGGAGGCGCCGATGCCTGGGGGCGGGGGACCCGGCTTCAGAGCCTTCCCCGAACACCCCCGCATCCCGTGGTAGAAGCCGAGACCCAAACAAAGGCGGGCGGCGAATAAAAGGCGGCGGCGCGGGGAGCTCCGGGCTGCGCGTTGGGGAACGGATTCCGCACCGGGCTGTGCGCGGGCTGTGCGCTCCGGAGCGGGACGGGGAACCCCGGCCTCCCGCCGCCCCGAAGAGCTTTTCCCGGCGGCTTCCGCAAGGAGACCGGCCCGCCCCGCCCGGCGGCTGCCGTCCCCGGCCTCTCCGGTGCCCGCGGCTGAGCCCGCTCCGCTCGGCCCGCCGAGGTGAGTGCGCGGCCGCCGGGCGCCATCGGGGCGTGGGCTGGGGGAGGCACTGCCGCGAGGAGCAGGGCAGGTCCTCCGCGCCGCCCCGACCCCGGCCTGCGCGGGGCGGGGTACGAAGTTCTCCCGCTCCCCGGCCGGCCCGGGATGCGGGCCTCGGAACCCACCACCCCGGGAGGACCCGGGGCTTGTCCCCCGCGGCCGTCCTCCAGCTCCGCACCAACTCCCAGCGGACCCGGGCAGCCTCGGTTCGCGCGGGCCAGTGTGATGTCCGGGAGGCACGAGGGACCCAGGCTGCGGGGCGGCTTCCGACCGCCGGCCCCTGGCTCCGGTCGCGGCGGGTGGATGACCGAGTCCATAAAAGTTGTCGGCCCGAACCTGCCCCGCATCGGGCTCTGGGCCGGTCTCGAGCGGAGGGAGGGGTCAGGAGAAGGTTCGTGACCGCCACTCCACCTATTAGCGCACTGAGGCTCTCAGCGGGACCTTCCCGGGTGCTGGGCCCGTTAACCCGGCTGCAGGTCCGGCGGGGCGCGCGTGAGCTCAGGGCAGAGCGGGCGGTGAGAGTGGCGGTGGGTGGGCATCGGGGCAGGGGCGCGCCGAAGACCGGTGAAGATCCCTGGAGCCAGCGGTGCCGAGTCCCGGGAGTCCACCCCGCCTCTGGGGGAACTTTCCCCCCAAACTCCTGGGGGCGGGCATGGGCGCAGCGAGGCTAGGAAGGCACCTCGGTGGAGGCTTTCTTCCCGGGGACCCGGTCTGCCGCCGTGGAAGCCGACGCCGGATCCCCGCAGTCCCCCCGTAGGCGCGGCGGAGATCCCCTCCCCTCCCCGCCCTGGGTCAGCACCGCGGACAGCGCCTCTCGGGGCCGCAGCGCCTCAAACCCCACCAACCCACTTGCACGCTCACACGGATCTACAGACAACCCGCAAACAGTCCCCACACAGGTTCACAGTCCATTCACGCAAACACGTGTCCAGCCGCAGTCCACACAGGCCATCCACACGCACGTGGACAAGCTCGGATCTTCCCAGGAGCCCTGCAGCCCGGCAGCATCCTCACTGTTGTCTCCAGACCCCGAATAAGGCAACTCTAGAGCTCACTGCTGAGTCCTCACAGGGATACCCAGGACTCCGAGCCCTCAACACACACACACACACACACACACACACACACACACCAGTCCCACTCCTGCCAGGGAACCAGAGCAAACCCTCCCGGCACCCCAGTGCAGACCCCGGCAGGAACCCGGCCTTTGCCAAATGGAGGGAGGAGCTGCCGGCCCAGTGGAAGCTGTGGCAGAAACCCAACCTTCCCAGATCTTGGTTTTAGGCATTTTGCTGAGCCCCCCCTTTTCAGACCTAACCCCCGACAAGCCTCTGTCTGCAACCAGGTCTGCGCCCCTCTCTGTGTCATCCTCCACTTGCACTTTCTGGGTTTCCCTGCTCTGTTCTCCCCCTCTGGGTTTATCTTCCACACACATTCCCCCCTCTTTCTTCTGCCTTTTCCAACGACTCCTTCCCAGCCACCTTTACTCTCTCCCCAACTTTCTTCCGTCAGCCCACTCCCATGTGGGCACAGCTGGCTCCTAGCGGGAGCAGACTCCATTCTCCTGGCAGATCCTGCACCCCTACTCCCCGCTTTGGGAGTCTGACACACACGCACCCCCCTTTTCACCCATGGCCTCAGCAGCTTCTCCCCCTCCCCAGGAAAATGTCCAGGCTAGATGCACCCGAGTCCCACAGTCCCTCCAAGGGGCCAGGATTGCACAGCTAGTGGCTCCATCCCCACTCCCCTGGGGACCTGACTTGGTGACAGATCTGGTGCCCATGCCCCGGCTTGCCCTTTGACGCTGCTCCTGCTGTTGCCCTTAGTATCCAGAAACTAGGCTCCCGCGTGATGTGAAGGAAGGAGCTGAGTGCCAGTGGGGAGGCCTGGGACCTGGTCTCAGCATGGCCATAAATCAGTGGTGTCCTTCAGTGAATTCCCTTCTCCGAGCCTCAGGCTTCCTGTCTGGACAAGAATGGGGCAGGTTGAGGTGACCTTCCGGGTCTCTTGTTGGCCCCAGTAATGTGGGACATTGACTGTCTCAGGAGCCTCTTGAGTGTGGGTGGGAATGAAATGCTCGGTTCTAACCCCAGAGCTTATTGCACCTTCCTCCTTCCTCAGAGCACCCACCACTAGTGGAGTCTCCTGAACAAGGGATGTTCAGGTGATTTCCTTATAGGACCAGAGGTGTCAAGTAATTTTCTTGAGGTCACACAGCTGAAATGCAGGCTCCATTGGGGCAGGCAGTGATTCCACGGCTTGTATATCCTCTGTATGAACCACTGTTTCTGGCTGGTGGATGCTTAGTGAATAAATGAACAAAGAAACAAACAAACAAACGAATGCATGATTGAATAAAAGAATAGAGGTTTAAACCTGGATCTCCTGATCCCCAGAGCCTTGGGGTCACGGTTTAAGCCCCTTTCTCTATAGTTTAGACATGTTTCCCTTGTCCCCCCATTTCCCGTCCACTTGCCTGGCCATGCAAAGGAAGATGAAGTTGTCTAAGACTCTTTCTCCCCAAGGCCAACTCTGATTGTCAATGACCACGCAGAACGGACTAGCTGAGAGCAGCTGTAGAGGGCCTGCTGGTGGGTTCGGCCTTGGCAATCCGCCCCGAGTCCCTAAGACTCAAAAGTAGGCTGTGCCTGGGCAGCTGGCCAGGGTCTGAGGATGGGAGAGAAGACAGTCATCGCTACCATTTGGCTAAGCAGCCACTTCCCACAGCCCCATGAGCTGCAGAAATCACCTTTCCAGAGGAGCAAAGCGAGATGCTGAGGGAGGAGGTGGTTTCCCTACGGGCACGCAGCCAGCCCACGGCCAGTCATAAAAATAGGCACCCACACACGGAGGTGGTGGAGGTGGCGGGCGGCGGCCGTGGCTGATAATAGCACTGTCGGTGTTGATGATGACGGTAGCATCATCGTGATTGGAAGTTCAGTGATTGGCCTCTTTGGTTCCCTTTCTCCTCTTTGAAATTGTCTCCCCATGTGAACCTCTTATACTCCTCCCCCTCCCCCGACATATGGAGAAACGGGGGGCTGGGACAGTGAGACAGGGGTGTCTGCTTGTCGGTTAATCTCAGCCGGTTGGTCTCAGCCGAGGAAGAGGGCTTGTCATTGGACATCCTCCTCCTCCTCCTCCTCCTCCTCCTCCTCCTCCTCCTCCTCCTTCTCCTCCTCCGGCCCACCCTCCTCCACCCGTGTGCATCTCTGCCTGAGGACCAGAGTCAACGTCTGGCAAACACCCTTCCTCGCCGGGTTCCACCTGAAAGGCCCAGGGAAAATAAATGAAGGGCGGTGTTGGCCCGAAATAGACTTACAAGTATGCATGTTTTCCAAAAGTCACATTTCATGGGCAAACAGTGGGGCTCATGCTCTGGCTACTCCACAAAGACGGGAGGCATGGATGCTTCTGGACCAGTCCAGCCAGGGTGGCAGAGCCTCCCCAGAGAGCGAGCTCCCCCTTGGCCACCGGAAAGCCAGGGGGCCACGCCCCCGCTCCTCACCAGCTGGAGGGTGCAGGGTGGGAGAATTTCCATTACTCCGTGTCCGTATCCGTGTGGCAACTCTTTGGAAATGGGCACCAGACAAGGCTGAGGGCCTTGGGAGACTGGTAATAACAATCCTGATAATAACAGCTGCATTTGTTGAGTACCTACTATGTGCCATGTGCTAAACATGTAATGTCCCATCTCACTTAACCTTGCAACCATCTCATGCTGTGTGGGCTGTTATTCCCATTGAATACATGGGAAGACCAAGGATCAGGGAAGTCCAGAGGTTGCCGAAGGCGGCCCCACTAGAAGAGGCCAAGTTGGGATCAGATTTTGATCTGAATGAAGAGGCCCTCTTGTGCCCAGTGCTCTTCATTAGTTTATTTAATTAGATTTAGTCCTCGCCCGAGGGTATGTTTAGAGGAAGTGGAGGGAGAAAGATGGGTTGGTTGCCTCCCGTATGCACCTGGACCAGGGATTGAACCTACATCTTAGGTATGTGTCCTGACTGGAATCGAACCCGCCATCATTTGGTGTACTGGATGGCGTGCCAAGCAGTGGAGCTACCTGTCCAGGGCTCTGCATTATTTCTGGTATTCGTTTGTTCATTCATTCATTCATTCATTCAATAAATATTTTTTTGTGAATGTAAATCCCTCTGCTTCCTGAGTCAGAGGTGAAGGGCAGTACTGTCACCTGGGTTTAGCTCTGGCCATCTATCATCAGCCCAGGGCGGGGACTCCAGACTTCTGAGCTAGGACCGGAACTGGCTGCCTCACCTTTGCATCTTGGGCTCTGTCCCCAGCCATGAGAGCTGTAATCCGTTTGCTTGGGGGATGGGCTCAGGCAGGAGTCCCCCTGTGAGGCTGGGACTAGAAAAGACCATTTAACTCATACGAGGCCTGGGCTGCAGGGGGGGAAGTTGTTCAGGGAGGCAGGTGAGCTGCCAGCATCACACAGCACGTTGGCTGCAGTGTCTGAGTCTCAGAGTCCCAGACGAGCATGCCATGCCCCCAGGGGAAATGCAGCTGGTTCCCCCTGCCCAGGGCCTCTCCTCCGCATCCCCTCAGCATTGATCCTGATCCTGGTGGCCTGTCCCAGGTCCCCAACTATCCATCATCAGAACACTAGCAAATACAGGACATATGCCAGGCACCGTGCTCCATGCTTTACATGTGTTAATGGGTGTGATCCCCACAGCAGCCACAATGTGCTTGTTCCACTTCACAATGGAAGGACCAGCGGCTGGAGAGGTTGGCTCCCCTGCCTGAGGTCTCACAGCTAGTGAAGAGGCAGGTGGGCCCCACGGGGCCCCCACGAGCAGGTTCACTCTGGGGGCGAAGGAGGTTTTGGAAGCAACGCCAAGGGAGGAGGAGCAGATGGCAGCAGCAGGCTATTTATACGGCACCTCCTGCCCTGCCGTCGTCGCTTGCTGGCATTTGTGCTGGCAGAAGTAGTGTCCCTG